ATGCAAGACAAGCATGCAACAACATGCAAAGATGGACTTAAACCAAAATGGACAACTCTCGAATAGGCCCAAATTAGTGGCCATAAGTGATGAATTGATAGCACAAAATGCTAGGCAAGCATGCATGCCAATGGGCCTAAGAATTAAGGCATAAAGATGCAACTCTTAAGCACACTTAAGGAGTAAAAAGCATGCAAGTATGACAATACTACATGCTCTGAAATGATGCTAGGAATGATGCCAAATCACACACATAACACAAACATAGCATGCATGAAGTTCAAAAGCTAAGAACTAGCAAAGGGACTTAAGCCATGGCCATGCAAGGCAAGCCCCAAAGGGCTAAAGAAACCTAAAACAGTCCCAAGGCAGGTCCAAACAAGACCAAAAACAAGCTCGATGCTAGCCAACATAGGCTAGAACACAAGGCCAAACACAAGGAGCATGCAAGGCTACAAAGGAGGCAATGCACTAGACCTATTGAAACCAAACATGGCATGACTTGGACAACATAAAACAGAGTTACATCATGGTATAACAAGACCAAAAATGCACTGATATGATGAGCCAAAGGCTTAGGCTTAGGCTTAATGGCATGCACAAAAGCTCATTCTTGAGGCATAAAGAGCCAAACCTCCAAGGCATTCAGAGCATGTCAAATGTAGGTATATGACCACGTTTCATGGACTGAAATAACATTTAAAATAATGGCAAAGCATGGAAACATCACATGTATGGCATGGTAAGGGCCTCAAAACCCAAGACTAGCCTAAGCATTTGCACTATAGCTATACAAAGCATGAGTGATTTGGCCATGGCAGCCCAAAACAATCCTAGAACAGCCCAAAATAAGAACAAAATCATGCTGGAGCAAAGCCAAAATATGCTAGGATGATGAGTCAAAGCATCATGCACATAAAGCTAGTAAGCAAGATTTGTTCTACAAGTATATGAGCCACTCAAGAGACAACCAAAACAGCTTTAGACAGAGTTATGACATGCCAAATGATAGTAAAAAACCCACTGAAATGGAGTCAATACATGCTAGCAAGACATGCTACTTTGATGAGCTACAAATGGGATTACACTACACATACAAGATGTATGCAAAATATGACTAAACCAGCCATGGATAGACTTAAGGAAGGTCCTAAAAGTCACAAAAAAGAGCCTGAACCAAGCCTCAAAAATACATAGAGGCATGCTTCTTTGGAAGGCCAATAATGCAAGCAAACAAGAACCAAAAGAGAGGGGGCCACCCCCTCTGATTGAGGCCTCAAAACCACATGCCTACCACTGAAAATCCACTAGATTTCAGTGGTTAGAAGGCCAAACCAAGGCTAGCTCGGAGGCCTTAAGGCATGGCTCAAAACAAGGCTAAACAAAGCCAACAAGAGGGTTGAAGACCCTCAACAGCAAAAAGACCTTAAACAAACTTCAAAAGAACTTAAATACAAGACTTTTTTCAGTTGAAATCAAGGCCTAAAACAATATGCAAGGATGGCCAAAATGAGGTACAAAAAATTGCTAAAAAGGAGAAGAAACTCACCCTTGAAGATCAACTTCGAAACCAGCAACTTCAGGGGGGTAAAACCTCACTTTCAGAGCTCAAGAAGTCCTTCCAAGAACCTTAACCCAAAGATGGTGGTGTATCTCTAAGTGTTGTAGTATAAAAGTGCAAGGAAAATGGACTTCAAGGCACAAATGAATAACAATATATATATATATATATATAGAGAGAGAGAGAGAGAGAGAGATATATTTCTTCTCAAAAATGCTGAACCTCTGCTAAGGAGAGAGGCTCTCTCCTTATATAGAAGAAAAGCAATGCAAAGCTTTTTCAAGAAGCTTGGCAAGAGCTTCATCCCTCCATACACGTGTATAGAGGGCAGATAAAAGGATTCCAGCTGGCTTAAAAGATCTGGAGTGAAACCTGCTGAGACAGGGGTGCTGCAGTGGCTCATTGATGGCCGGCAGGCTCAATCAAAGGCCGGTAGCAACAAAGTGGGGGCCGGCAGGTCCAAAAGGTGGCCGGCAGTGCACCAAGAAGCACATTTTGAAAGGACCAAGTCATGGTCCAAGAATGGGGTAGAAAGGATACAGGGTCTGGAAAGCTCGAACCTGTGACGTTCCGCCGCGAAAGTCGAATACCCAACAAGCAATCGAACTTGTGTCCGGATGTACTTGCAAGCACAACCAAGTCTTGAAGACGGTCAAAAATGGAGTGTCTACACTCATATAGATAAAACCTCCTTACATTACTATTATTCACTGAGTATTGCTCACTCTGTATTTATGTATGTTTATGTAGGCGATCAGCTCGGGAGACAACCCTAGGTTAGCTCTAGGAGCTCTTTTTGCTGAACCTGTTTTGTAGAGCCACCCGAAGTGGTATTTTGTTTTATTTTGGGGAGTTCCATGTGATGGCATATTTTGCTAGTCTTAGATGACTTGTCTTAGATACATTATCAATATTTAACTTTTGGGTTGCTACCCTTTGTATAGACTTACATGTGTGGACTCAATGGGTATGAACGGTATATGAAAATGTTATGTATATGTATGATATGATGTATTAAGATCCTGGCATGTAGACACTGCTCAATGGGCGTTTTATTTTTGTATTATATTTGTTTCCGTTTAGACCCCAATATTGAATAAAAATTTTGGTTTTGAAGCCTAAGTATGGGCCGGTCATGTCCAAACTTTTAGGGACAGGTTTGGGTCGTGACAGGAGTTTTGCTAGGGATCTCACCACCCAAGAAAAGGTCTCGATACTATATAAGGGTCCAGGTTTTTACTTTTATAGTCCAGGAACTCCCTTTCCATTCCCGATGTGGGACACCAGGACTTTATAGAAGTGCCCCACCCGAACTAACAAAAATCTTGTCAAAATTGTCATTGGATGGTCGATCAGTTGGTGAAAAATTTGCCCATTTTGCTTTGGTTCAGTCCAGCTTTGCTCCAGTGCCCAACAAGTCTTATACACTTGGTCAAAACAAGTTTAGGGTTAAAAAGAAAGCTCAAATTCCATCTTTTTTTACTGAAGATTTTGTGAAAAACATATTTTTATTTTCATCACCGGGTAATCAAAAGAAAGCGCTAAAGTCTTAGGATCGGTAAAATGTGGTGTCAACACGGGTCGGCAGACTAATGTCTACTCTTAATTGTTAGTGGCGAACCTACGCAAGGACGAGATGTGGCTATGGCCCCTTCCAAGTTTTTCTAAATTACGATAATATGATTTTTGGTAGGCACGAAATACTCAACAAACCCTACAAAATGAACGATTTAAATTATAAAAATAAATCTATAATATATCTCAAATTGAAACGTAATAGTCAAAGAGTACAGCAGTCAGGGGCGGAGGCAGCTTGGGCTTAGGGGGGTCACGTGCCCCCCCTGACTTTTGGAATTTTTTTTTTTTTTTTTAAAATTTGAAATGGGTTTTGCCTTTTACTTTCCAACACACATTCAAACATATTAACCCACTGACACACACACACACACACACCACACGCTAGCACAGCACCCACGCTTGTATTTTTTTATTTTTTTATTTTTTTATGGGGAATCCCAATCCTAATCAAATATTGATACATAACTTTTTTTTTAGGTGAGTACATACAATTCCAATTACAACAAAGTTAAAACTCTAAAACCTTATAAGTGTATGAAATTCTTTATTTTTTTATTTATTCACAGTACTTGTGAGTATTTTCATATTTTCTTTGTCTTCTTTGTCTCCCTTTGTTATTTTGAAATTTACCAAATTCACCAAATTAGGATCACACAACACAGATTTGGGACCACACTACAACCTTGGTATCTTCTCTTCGTTGTTTACAGGTAACTTTATTATTTTTTTTAACTTTTAAATAAAAATTATGAGTATTAATTTATAATTATTTGTTAAATTTTGATTTGTAAATTTTTTTTTATTTGTTATTATTTATGTTAAAATAAGAGATTTTGATATGCTAAAATTATGAATCTTAATTGGTGGTGATTTATATTAAAATTAGGGATTTTGGTTTGTTGTTGTTTGTGCTAAAATTAGGGATTTGATTTGTACTAAAATTAAAAATATTAATTTGCAGTGCTTAATATTTAAATTAGGGATTTTGATTTGTTATAATTTGTGCTAAAATTTAAAATTTTGATTTGTTGTGATTTGTGCTAATTTAAATTTTTTGATTTGTATTAAAACTAAAGATTTTGATTTGTGGGGGGTTTGAGATTTTGATTATAAATTTTTATTTTGATTTTTAGTTTTTTCAAACAGTCATGGAGAAATATTTCAAAAGAAAATCAAAGTGGGAATCATCTTTTTCTCAAGAAAAAGATGAAAATTATTCTTCCGCAAAACAAAGTCGCATAGAAGTCAACTTAGAAGATCTTCCTGCAGATCCAGGACTACGGCCTCGGATTACGGACTATAGTGCTAATGATCGAGACCGAATTCGTAGGGCATATCTACAAAAAGGTCCTTGTCAACCTCGTGATCATAATTTTCCACAAAAATCATTTGGATAAAAACTTCGGCGATTAATCAGGCTTGGTTTAGTGAATTTCCTAATTGGTTGGAGTATAGTGTAGTAAAAGATGCAGCATTTTGTTTATATTGTTATCTTTTCAAATCCGATATTGGAGATCAAGCTGGTGGTGATTCTTTTGTTGGTGAGGGTTTCTCAAATTGGAAAAAAAAAGAAAAAATTCAGACTCATGTTGGAGGTCCCAATAGCGCTCATAATCAAGCTTCGAGTAACTATCAAGACTTGTTAAACCAAAACCAACATATTGAAACGATTTTTTTCAAACAATTTGATCAAGCTCGAATTGAGTATCGAACCCGTTTGAATTCATCGGTTGATTGCGTTAAATTTCTTCTAAGATAATGACTTGCGCTTCGTGGGCATGATAAATCTGAAAATTCAAGTAACCAAGGAAATTTTCTTGAACTTCTCAAGTTTCTTGCTGATCATAATGAAGATGTCAAAATGGTTGCATTGAGCAATGCTCCACAAAATCTCAAGTTGACATCTCCTAATATTCAAAAAGACATTGTAAATGTGGCCGCATTTGAAACTATCAATGTGATTATTAGAAATCTTGGTGATGCACTTTTTTCTATGTTGATTGATGAAGCCCGTGACATATCAATTAAGGAGCAAATGGCAGTTGTAATACGATATGTTGACAAAAAAGTCCAAGTGATTGAGCGTTTTTTGGGTATTGAGCATGTTGCTAATACGAATGCTCTCTCGCTTAAACAAGCTATAGAAAATTTTTTCTTCAAACTTGGATTGAGTATTTTCAGATTGCGGGGTCAAGGATATGATGGGGCTAGTAATATGCAAGGTGAGTTCAATGGTATTAAAACACTTATAGTGAAAGATAATCCTTGTGCATATTATGTTCATTGTTTTGCTCATCAATTGCAATTGGCACTTGTAGCCGTGGCAAAAAATCATAATCAAATTATTTTACTTTTCACTTTGGTTTCTAATGTGGTGAATGTTGTTGGAGCATCATGTAAACGCCGAGATATTGTTAGGGAGAAGCAAGCTGCAAAAGTTACTGAGGCACTTAATACTGGAGAGCTATCTAGTGGGCAAGGCTTAAATCAAGAAACTAATCTTAAACGTGCTGGTGATACACGTTGGGGTTCACACTATGGTACTTTAGTCAGCTTAGCTAGTATGTTTTCAACAGTGATTGATGTGCTTGAAATGATTTCGGAGGATGGTTCAAATGCAAAACAACGAGCAGAAGCAAATATATTGTTTGACTCAATTCAATCATTTGAGTTTGTATTCAACCTTCATTTGATGAAAACGATATTGGCTATTACAAGTGAGTTATCGCAAGCACTACAATGTATTGTCAAGATATTGTTAATGCCATGAATTTAGTTCAAATTTCTAAAGTACGACTCCAAAAGATGAGGGAGAGTGGGTGGACATCTTTACTTGATAATATTTTCTCTTTTTGTGAAAAGCATGAAATTGATGTTCCCTAAATGGAAGATATGTTTGTAGTTCGAGGGAGAAAAAAACGCAATGCTCAAGAAATTACAAACTTACATTACTATCGCGCTGAGTTACTCTACACTGTTTTGGATATGCAAATTCAAGAACTAAATGCTCGTTTTACTGAGTCGAACACTGAGTTGTTACTTTGTGTGGCATGTTTGAATCCATCTAACTCTTTTTCTAGTTTTGACAGGAAAAAGTTAATTCATCTTGTTGAATTTTATTCCAAAGAATTTTCTTCAGTGGAGTTCATGGTACTTAATGATCAACTTGACACATATATTATCGACATGCTATCCAGTAGTGAGTTCTCAATGTTGAATGGAATTGCCGATCTTGCTAAGAAAATGATAGAGACTGGAAGAGACAAAGTATATCCATTGGTGTATTTGCTCTTGACTTTAGCATTAATCTTACCTGTTGCAACTGTTACTGTTGAGAGGGTATTTTCAGCTATGAATATTGTGAAGAATCGGTTGCGGAATCGAATAGGTGATGAATGGATGAATGATAGCTTGATTGTCTATATTGAGAGAGATATTTTTGATGGCATTGACAATGATACTATTATGGAAAGGTTTCAAAAGATGAAAACTCGTCGTGGTCAATTGTAAAAGTTTAAAATTTTAAATTTTTCGTAATGGATATTAATTTTTAATGTTTAACATTAGTTCGAAAAATTATTATTATGTTATTGTTATCGATTGGGGAAGAAAAAATTTAAGATTGTAATTAATGGGTGCCCCCTATATTAAATTCCTGGCTCCCCCACTGGACACACATATATATATTTATACCATACTTACTCCTTTAGGATAAAGATAATCTAGAGATTTCTTTACCACCTTTGACACTAATGCGAGAGTGTGGGGATATATTTTCTGAATACCAACACGTGGCATGGTGACGCCGAGGTGCCACGTGTCGTCATAGTTTAAGCCGAGATGATCTCGGAGTTGCCGAGGTTATCCCCGAAGATATCGGAATCCGAGATAAGCAGAAAAGGGACAAGAGTCCTAAGACAAAGAGGGGACTTAACCAAGATAAAACTCTTAAGGGAGTTTATCTTTATCTCTTAAAGAGTCCAGAGTAAACACTAAATTGGAGTTCATAGAAGTCATACTTCTAGTAGGACTTGGATTGAGTATATTATAAAAGAGAGGCACCCCCGTGGGTCTAAGGTATGCAATTTATGTTTTGAGTATTAAGTTTTGCACTTGATTATCTTTGAGAGATATACTGACTTGATCGTCGGAGTGCCCCCGGGTGGAAGAACCACCGCCGGAGCCTTTTCTTTCTATTTCAGGTTACTAAAGCCATTTATTCTGCCTGTGCTCTCCAGTTGATCACTAAGCAGGCAGTGTGGTCAGATTTTCACCCACACATTTTCGTTTGTGGACTGGAAGGTCAAAGAGTTTTTTCAGATCTGTTCCTGGGAAAAAGGATTGGCGGAAGTTTTTCGGTGGCTGATGAAGATCTGCAGGACAAAGAAACAGACGTCAGAAACAAAC